TTGTCTTGGATTTCTTGGACGGTCTGTGTCAGGAATTTTTTGGATTTAACATTTTCTTTGACAGATACATCGATTTCTTCCATTGTATCTTCTACACCTGAGATTCTTTCTTCCATTTCTTGTATTCTGTTGGTTATGCTTACCTCTGTAGTTCCTGTTTTCTTCCCTAAATTCTTCCTCTCCATTATTTCCTCCATTTGTGTTTTCTTTAATTTTTCTAGTTCTATCTTCAGGTCTTGAGTTGTTTTGTTTACTTCCTTCACCTGTCTGCTTGTATTTTCCTCTTTTTCTTTTAGTTCCTTCAACTCTGTCTCTTTGATTTCTTTCAGTGATTTAATTATTTCTTCTCTGAAGGCCACAAGCTGTTTGGCTGCATCTTCCCGTATTTCTTCACGGATGGCCCTAATTTGCTTGTCTTTATCTTCCTCCATTTCTTTACGGATAGCCATGATCTGTTTGGTTTTATCTTCCTCTAATTCTTTACGTATTTTATCTGTTTCCTCTATTATTCTCTTCATCAACATAGATATAAGGTCATCTTCTTGATTTTCTATTATGCTGCATTGTTCGGGGCTGTTCGCCCCTGGATGGCTGGGTTCTGGAGATGTCATATTGCTCTGTCTTTTGTTGGTTGAGCCTTTACGCTGACCTCTACCCATTGGGCTGATTTAGGTTTTGGCTGTTAGTTTCTGTGCTTCCTGGAGTCCTGAGGTAGGGAGTATCCCCTTGGCCGGAAGATGATTTTTCCTGAAGGAGTCCTTCTCTGCTTTTTGGTTATGGTCACTGTATGGCCAGTGTTTCTCCGGAGATGCCACTGCTCACCTCAGGTTTATAGCCCTGAGTAGTAGCTGTGGTCTATGTTAGGCAGGGGGGGGATCTCCTCTTACCCATAAAATTTCTCAAGACAGCTGCCCCACTGCTGGGTTTCTTGTTATAAATTTAGTGTGCTGCTGCTCACTAAATTTCCATGTACAGTCCTCTTGAAGAAACTGCTGATTCCCTAGCTATGGGGTTTTCTCCCAACAGGGAAACTCAGTCTGTTATCCTGGGGCGCACAGTTCTGTCTGAGAAAGTGGGAGGTGCACTCAGCAAGTCTCTGGGCCAAAGGCTGATTGCTCTGCTCTGGACCTGGAGAATGTGCACCTAGGTTGAGTTGTCGCCTGGGGGCACTGTTCTGGTCTGGAGGCTGGGTGCCTCACTCTGGACCAGAAGCTGTGTGTCTCTGTCTGGGATGGCGGCTGTAGGCATCACTCTGGTCCAGACGCTGTGGGTGCAGCCCCCCTGAAGGATCAGGGATTTCTACAGTTTTGGCAGTCCAGCCAGGGACAACTAGCCGATCCCTGGCACAGTATCTGAGGGCTGCTGTAATGGCTCTTCGGCTCTTGCAGGTTCGAGGATGCAGCTGTGTGTGTGTCCCAGTGCCCCAGGGGAATGCAACAATGGCGGCAGAGCACAGCGCTTCTGCCTGCACTAGAGTCTGCGTGAGTCCAGGAAGTGTTTTGGTGCTGGGTGTCCTAAGCGTTAGAGCTGCTGAACCCCTCCGCTGGGGGTTTCCTCCTGCCAGAGACACGCAGTCTGGTGCCCTGGTGCCCTGGTGCCCACAGTTCTATCTGAGGCAGCGAATCACGCGCGCAGGCAGGGCTCTGTGCAGGCAGGCGCCTTTGTTCCTCCCGGCTCTGGGTCCGGGCTGGCTCCTGGGGCACCCGCGGAACCCGAGTCTTTTCCAGGGGATGTCTGGGTAACCTGCGGTCGGTCCCAATTGTTTCCTGCTCCGTGGGGTTATCGCTCGACTGGGAAATCCAGTCTATGGTGTTGTGGGCCCACAGTTCAGTCTGGGACCGTGACCAGATCGCGCTGGCGGGTAGCTCTGGGCTGGCGACCAAGCGCCTGGCGGAACGGGGATCTCTTCCGCGGTTTAGCCGGGTGAGTTAAAGCTGATCGAAACCCCCAACGTGGGGTATCCTCTCACCTGAGAAACACAACCACTTGTGTTTTATGGCCGCGAGTTCTGATTGCTGGTCACTGTGCCAATCCTGCTGTGCTGCTCCTCAGAATGAGAGTCCTCCCGGCGCTGCCATCTTGCCCCGCCCCCCTGACATACATCTTTCTGGCACATCTTACACTTATGAACCTCATGGTGGTCTTCAGAGAGGCACCTTTTTCTGTAAAATAAATTTCTGCTAGTGTCTATATCTTGTTTTTGATTTTTGTATATACATCTTAAATGTGAAACTACATTCAGTTTTGACTGCCTGAAAAGCTGAAAAGATTTTTTTGTTTGTTTTGTGTTGTTTTGAGACAAAGACTAACTATGTGCCAGGCTTTGAAATTACAAACTCCATCCATCTGCCTCAGCTGAGATTATAGGTATATGTCACCACGTGCAGCATGAAAAGCTTAATGATTCTCCCCACATAATACTTGTAATAGCAACATAGTGTTCTTTGTGAAACTTTCATTTTTCTCTGTGTATTTAAAGTTTTTATTCCAAAATGTGTTATAATGATATAAATAAAGCATTATTTACTTATTTCAGTGCTGGGGATTCTATACAGGGCCCTACACATAAGCACTGAGCTATATTCTCACCCATTTATTTTTGAAAGGGTTCACATCATTCACAATATGGCCTATATAACAATTAGTAAGACTAAGTATTTACAAATATTTTTCTAAGTATATTTTCTTAATTGTTATAACTTTTTGTTCACTTACGTGTTTTTGTTTGTTTGTTTGTCTTTGAGATAGGAGATAAGATGTGGCTGTGTAGTCCAGACTGGTCTAGAACTTAAAATATACTAAGTCTAACCTCAAACCCATAGCCAACCTCCTATCCAGCCTCCAAAATATATTGGGACTACACTCATGAACCATCATGCCAGGCTTTGGCAAGTAGATTTTAAATAGTTAAATTATGTTATGAACAGTCAATGATGATCAAGAACCCCTTAAAAATATTAAGGTGAAGTCTGGACCTTCTCAATATAAGACCAATCCATTCGGTTTATTTATATGGGTGTTTATAACTCTAAATAACCTTCCCATAAGGCCAAGAAATGTGTATCTTGTGCATGTAATATTCATATGCATCTGAATGGTGCAGGTGAACTATGGTTGAGAATTATAACCCTGAATGTGGTGCTCTGCAAAAGAAAGAATTAAAAAATTGGGAGCAATTAATTTTTGGCAGGTAAGATGACTCAGTTAGTAAAGGCTCCTGCTGTCGAGCCTTACAATCTCAGCTCAAGATTTTTCCAAGTTGTTCTCTGACCTTTATGTCAAGCACCCACACCAATAAATAAATGTACTTTAGGTATGTGAATAAATGTAATTTAAAAACCAGGATTTGAGGTTCGAACACTAGGAAAGCTCAGTGGTATTTTATGAGATCTATGTGCAGGAATAAAGATATCTGTGGCTTGAAGAGAATCCAGAAAAGCAATTTCACAGGACTTCGACTGTCTGCAAGGAAAGCATTTTTACTTGGCATGAAGGAGTAGAATTAAGATAGAGAAGAAAGAGGGAGTGGCTGGAGAAGAATCCTGGACCAAGTATCAGATGGAAATAGCTCTAGATTAGTTTCTCAATGAGTCAGAAGGAGCCAATATAAAAGGCAGTGTGACAGACATGTGACTGGAGGATTGTGACTAAAAAGACCAGTCATCTGATTTACAGGGAAATGAACAAGGAGGAAATGGACGTATTGTAGCTGTGAATTCATTGTGGTTCCACATTGTGAAGTTTTCAATTTAAAATAAGTATCACTTTCAGAATACTTCACAGTAACCACATGTTGCTAGGCTGTTGCTACTGTACCTCAGAGATTTCAAGGAGCTCCCTTATCCTGCTCAGTTCAGTCTCATTGTCTACAACTGTCACTGTACTCAATGGTGATAATGACAGCAAGCGTGAGTGACATTTATTCAATATTTATTTCTTCCAGACATCTGCTTTAATATATAGTGACTTATCATTGTTAGGTTGGGACTTTTAGGTTGGGACTTGTCCTCACTTCACAAGAAATAAAACTAAGGAGACAAAACAAGGAGATTCAAGATTGGAATTTAAACCCCAGCTATTTGATTTTGGTGAGCCTAAGTGCTACAGAATATTTAGATTTCTTAAGATTTCTTTCTTTCTTTTTTTTAGGTCTGGGTGTGTATTGTGTGTCTTGGGGTAAGGGTTGTATCATGGCATGAGTGTGCAGGTCAAAGGACAACTTTGTGGAGTCTTTGTAGTACTCTTTTCATCTATGTGGATTCCAAGACTCAAACTCAAGTCATTAGACTTGTGTGGCAAGCACATTTACCTGTTGTACCATGTCACTGGCCTCTTTGTTTTGTTTGTAGAAAGAATGGCTTACATAACCCTTGAATTCTCTTTGTAGCCCAGACTGACTTGACACCTGGTCCCCTCTCTCACAAAGCCTCCCAAACACTGGAATAGTAGGCGATTTTCTAAAAATGTACGAGTGCACATATGTACACATATAGGAAGGGGAATTTCACATAACAATTAATTAAAAACAATGAGTATATTGCTGTCAGCATAGAATAATAAATTGCCCATTGAAAGCTTGTGAAGTTCTTACATTCCTTGAGACAAGCTGGGAGCCTTTCTTCAGTAATGATATGGATCATCATTATGTGCCTGTAGTGAAGTAGAACGATTCTACAGAAGTAAAAACTTTACAGTGCATGTTCACTTCTTTCAGGGCCATTTAAGGAAAATGCAGCAGGTATCACCACAAATATTCCAAATGGAAAGCTGGGTATGGGAACATTCATAGCATTCTGGAGGCAGAGGTAGCAGTGTGGGGTTAGAGGGTCTCTGGTAATTTAAGGCCAGTCTGTGTACATAGGGAGTTCTAGGCTACATAGTGAGGCCCTGTCTTGGAAAACTGCAAGTTAAAAAAAAATGGTTTAGTTGTTCCTATTCTCCAGAAGTAATATTCTAGATGGTTAATTTCTCTTTCCTTCTGTTTAACTTTCTTGTTAAAGCCATTGGTGTCAGCAACCAGAGGGAAACCACAGTAGTCTGGGACAAGCTAACTGGAGAGCCTCTCTACAATGCCGTGGGTAAGCCATTCATGTGGAGGGGTCCAGCACAGGGCCTCTTCCATTTGCAAAGGTGGTCACACCAAAACATGTGACTGACAAGCCATATGTTCATGGTTCCTATAATCTGAGATGGGCAGCAGAGTGCTCTAGGAGATGAGCTGTTATTACTAGAAATTTTCAGATCATATTTGTTTACCTTGAATTAATTATCTCTCCCTTGCTCTCGCCTTTTACTGATTCTTTGTATTATATAAATTGGTGGATATTGTCAGAACTATTTTATGACATCCACTGTGTTTTTGACATCTAAAAGAGATCTCTCGCCCTCCTACCCAGAAAAATAAAAATTGCAAGTACTCAAAATTATCTGTAAGTTATTTGTATATTTGTACTTTCTATGGAAAAACTTGAACTTATTAAGATAAAATATCAGAATTTTCTCTGCTTCTGTTATGGATTTAACTGTTTCATCATCAGGACATACAAGCGTCAAAATCTCAAGAATCTTACCTTTGGCTGTCATGTCTTAGATGTTAATGTCCCAAATAGATACTAGCATCATCCTTAGCATACCACACAGCAGTTGCAGAGCACTAAATGATACTGCTACGTCCTCAAAGGAAGATTGTGTTCTAACTATATAATCAGTCCTTAAAAGATTTCTGTTGCAAATAGCAAATCATGCTGGCTATGATGCCACATGCCCATAATTCCAACACTGAGGCAGGAAGATTGCCTCAAGTTCAGAGCCAGGCTAAACTTAAAAAATTGTACATTCTAGGTCACCTAGGGCTGTAAAGCAAAACCGTCTTTTTTTTTAAGATGTATTTTTTAATTATGTATACAATGTTCTGTCTGCATGTACACTTGCACACCAGAATAGGGCAACAGATCTCAGTATGGATGGTTGGGAGCCACCATGTGGTTGCTGGAAATTGAACTCAGAATCTCTGGAAGAACAGCCAGTGCTCTTAAACTCTGACCCATTTCTCCAGACCGCAAAACTCTTGTTTAAAAAAAAAAAAAAAACTGAGAAAAGAAGAGATAATGTATGATTATCATAATAAGTTATAAGTAAAAGAAACAGTAAATTTCCAAAAGAAGGAAAGGAATATGAAACAGGAAGGGGAAGCAATTAAAAAACATGTAAATCTAAGTATGTGTATCTAAGGACAGAATTTTTTCTGTGCAGTAAAAGGTATTAATAAAACCTGCTAGAGGGTTACTGAGATAGTGCAGTGAAAATGAAGAGAAGGAAAATTGCCAAGATGTCTCAGAGGATAGGTCCGACTGTATGTTTGTACACTGAGAAATTCATAAGCATGAAGGAGGTGACTATTCTTTGAGAAGTACACACCTGTGCTCTAGATTGTGCCTTTTTTCCTCTTAGCACTGTGCTTAACATCTTTATTGCAACATCTTTAACAAAACCCCAATACTGCTTCATAAAAGAGGTGAAGGAAAAGAAATTGAGCTTGTGAAAATTTAAGTTAAATAATATTAAGGGAGGAAAATAGCTTTTTGTTTTATATGAGATATTAAACTTTTGATTGAAATTACATGTTTTGGATTTTTTATTACATTTAATTAATTAGGTTTGGAAGAATGCAGGCACACATTCTATGGCATACATGTGGAGGAAAGAAGACAATTGGCTTGAGTCAGTTTTCTACTTTTACCTTGTAGATCTCAATACAAGTTGTCAGGCCTGGCACCAAGCACTTTTATGTACTGAGCTGCTTCATTGGACCTTGTTTGTTTTTGAGCTAATGTTTTATTTTTTAGACAGGGTTTCTTTGTGTAGCCTTGGCTGTCCTGGCTTACTTTGTAGACAATGCTGGCCTTGAATTCACAGGGATCCACCTGCCTCTGCTTCCCTGAGTGCTGGGATTACAGGTGTGTGCCAATGCGCCTTGCTGAGCCAGTGTTTTATGTGTTTTCATGCTGGCCTTGAACCCACTATGTGGCTAAGTATAACTTTGAACTCCTGATCTTTCTCCCTCCACCTCCCACGTGCTTAGTTTACTAGTATGCACCACCACACTTGGCTTTAGATAGCTTTCAATGCAGACTTTAAGTTTCCAACACAGATGTGATCATCTCAACTTATTATAGATGACCTCACTATAGGAATGAATGTACAATTAACTCCCAAACCTTGGCTAGATGCCTTTGTATGTTTCCTGTTCTTTGATCCCTATTTATATATTGCATCAAACTGGGGAGGCCTGTCACTTACCTTTCAGTCATGGAAATTTATAATAGGAATTTGGAGGCTAGAAGAAGAAATGGAACGAGAACTAAAGGACAAAAAAAAAAATTAGAGAAAAAAACCTGCTTAACCATTACAAAAATAGACTCTTCCTCCAACTTCATTTCATCTAGAAAAACATTGAATTATCATCCATCCATGTTGAGATGGTATTATATATTTAGCAGCTTTATTCAAAAGGAAGATCAGATGGGATTAGTGGAAGCAGAATTAGATTGCCCCATGGATTTGTGGTCAAGCTTCTTTGGCTTGTTTATATCATGATATAATTGTATTTTAAATTTTCTCTATTTTAGTTCAGACATCTAGAGCCCAAAATACCATAGAGTCAATGGCTAATTCAGCAGATGTATATTTACAGTAATTGTAGAGGCTAAAAGTTCGAGACTGAGCTCAAGATGAGAATTGATTTGGTGTAGTGAGGGCCCACTGCCTGACTTGTGTTTTCATATGGTAGAGAGCACAGTGCAGGAAAGCAAACTCTTTCCAGTCTTTTTATAAGTACTCTATCCCCATTTCTAAGACTCTGTGCTGGTGACCTAATCATTTCCCAAAGGTTTTCCATCCTAATTCCTTCAAATTTGGGGTTAAGGGTTCACTGTCAATTTTTCCTATGACATATTTAATTCAAAACCATCATAATGGTATATAATTCTTATCCAAGTACTTAGGCATGGGGGCAGGAAGATCAGAAGTTCAGATTTACCCTCAACTATATAGTGAATCTGAGGGCAGCCTGGGATACATAAGACTCTAAACCAAACAAAACAATGAAATCCATTTCCTACCACTCATTTTCTTTTTCTCTTCCTCTTATAAAGCTCTGTCACCCAGCCTATTTTTTTATTTTTCTGTTTATACTTAACTAAATTATAACTCATGAACAATATTTATTATGAACAATCAAATAAGAAGAACAGTTTGTACTTTTCTTAAAAAAAAAAATTCCCTGAGATGGCACATTGTGCTTGCTGTCAAGCCTGATGACCTGAGTTTGAGCCCTGGAATAGGTATGTGGAAGGAGAGAACCAAATTTGCAAGAGTCATATGATGGCTACACACATGCCAGGGCAAGTACATACACACACACACACACGCATGCATGCATGCATACATGCACAGCACGCATGCTCACACACACTGAATGAATAAATGTAATAAAAATAAAAGATATCCCTTTCATGTGGCCCTCCTTTTTACTATATGTACACAGTAAGTGGTGAGTATATTTACCCCTAGTATACAATAGTCTTAGGATTCAGTGGTGACTGTGGCATAGATTTATTGAACAAATTGCATCCTGACAGAGGTTATACTTACTTGCAATAAGGCTGTGTGCTTACTAGTAACTTTTCCAGTTGTAAACAGAGGTGAAAGCTCAGTAGGTCCCATAGGTGCATATAACCTACTTTTAGATGTCCCATGTAATTTTTTAATTAGTGTGTTAATTCTGAGATTAACACAGTAAACTGTAGTGCAGTACCTAAGGAGAAGTGTCACTTTGTTTCACTGCTTCCCAGACTCTCAGGTGTGTCATTGACACTTTGGATTTTATGTACTAACAGCTAAAGTTGATTTCAGATCCTACATAGTGTATGCATTGGTACACACACACATGTACACAGAAGGGCGGGAGGGTTAATTTTCCTGTCTTACCACTCCCCATGTTTTTTGGCCCGGTTTGTTATTGAAAATATCAAACAAGAGACATACTCTCTTCTCCCTTGTATATGACCTTTTTTTTTTTAATTCTTTACTAGTTTATTGAATTAAAAAAATTGAGGATCCCACCTTTTTAAGAGCTTTTTAATATACAGTACAGCATCTAATTGACAGATGTGGAAATCAGTCAGACAAGACTTCCTCATACACTGCCATGACTTGGATCTGATGCCCTCTCTTGAAAGAATCCTATAAAAATTGCTCCCAAGCCCCTCTGAAATCGCAGTAGTGCAGCAAAAACCCAAGTAAACAGCTGCCTGCTGACCCAGTGCTCAAATATAGACTGAAAGCCAAAAGGCTTTTTTTTTTCTGTGTGCAACTTTTAAAAAACAAATTATTAAGTTGAAATATCCGATCTGCACAGTGCTGTCCCTTCACAGAAGGCAAGAAGCTGCCAGAGCCTCATGTTGGAGGCCGGTGTCAGTGCTGAAGGCTGTGAAAGTGGGCCTCCCTCAGGGTCTGGTTGATGTGGAAGTAAGGTTCTTGGCACAGGGCAGACTGCTCAGGCACCGGCTATGGGGTGCTGGGGCAGGATCCGGGGATGAGTTGGCTCAGGCTGCTCTCTGTCCCACTGGCCCTGTCTGTATGACCTTTTAACTAGCTTAATTAAGGGTTTAACTATTGGCATTTAAAAGTCTTGTATTATTGAATGGAAAGAAGTCAGCAGCATTTTGTAAAACTCTGATGGTCTTTGCTTATAGTGTGTTGGATAACATGGAAGCCACCCCTTCTTCTTACCACACTACAAACTGCTTAGGATGAACCATCTCTGAGGAGATTTACTATTTGTTTTGTGCTTAGCCAACTAGACATAGATGATCCCTAGTGACTTTTTTTTCCATTTTGATTTTGTTACTTAGATGTGTTTGCTTATTGTTGTGATGATTAGCTAAAATTGTGCAAATTTGTGTGATATATTATTCAATATCCTCTAAAGATGACGCTTCCATCTGTACTGTGTGTATTTCTTAACTAACTGGCCCCTGGAGATTGAGGCAACTACATTTCTCTTCACTCTTAAAAACCTTATTTGGGCAAACTAAATATACTACACATATGTTAAATGTCACTTTACTCACACCATCCAAATTGTTGTAAACAATTTATTGGCTGGTCTGGACCATTAAAATTCCAATTTACATAGTCTAGATAAATGTATTCCTTCTAGAAGGGGTCTATAGAATACCATATATGGTATTTTGTATTCCTGAGAATTTATCATCCTACTATGTATTAATTTATAACTTTGGGGATTAACAGTTCCCTATCCTATATAGACAATGCTGTCCGTGTATGTGGAAATGACTTTACTTTCACCTACTCAGTGAGGAAAGAACTTTCTAGGATTGGCTTTCCCAAAATAGCTCTTTCATGTCCTGCAGCATTTCGCTTGCTATGGCAGGGACTTTAGCATGTTTGTTGGTAGCATTCATTTCTAACATCCCCTGAAGATGTGCTCCTGTAACATATCAGGCATGGTTTCAGTTCAGTAGTTTTTTGAACTATGATTGTATATATGTTGCCAAGTAGGGAAGAATCTTTCTGAACAAGAAACATACTTACATGGTCTTCATCCTAATGGACATACTGGTGAATGAGATATTCAGACTGGACTTTCTTTGTTCCCCTTCTACTCCATGTCTCTTCAATTTCTTTTTCTACATTCACATGTGTACAAAAACTCATTCTGATGAGCTTGCCCAAATGATCTACCCTCTCAAAACAAGCATACAAAGATCTTGAACCTGGCTATCTCTAGCATGAATTGCCATTATTTCTCCTAATGCTCCAGCTGCTCCAGTTTCTCCTGGCTCTTCAGTTCCAGTTGCCGTTGTGCCCTCTGGCTCTTCAGTTCCAGCTGCTGGTACTTCCTCAGGTATTGGTGCTGTGGCTATTGCTCACTCCCAGCCTTCCAACTCAGACATGTTGGGGGAAATTGACTGCTACTGCCAGATCTGGATCTGTCACTTCTTTTGATCTCAGAAATTACCTACACAAGGGGCTTAGTCCTCCAGCTTTGGGATCTTCTCTTTGGCTTTTGTTCTCTTATTCTGCAAATCTAATTCTGCCATCTTAGCTTCTGTAATGAGTTTTTTATTGTTTTGTTCTTAATTCCATTAATTTCGAACATTTGTGAATTGCACTGGTAGTGTATCAACCACTGATATCTTTTTCTTTCTGCCTTTTGTACTAATTCATTCCATGTACTCCAATTGCCATGAACTCTTTGATTGTAAAAACAAAGTAAATATCATGGCAGCCTTTTGCAGTCCTGGAGCAGTGGAAGGAAAAGGATTTTAGATGCTATCCATTCCAGCATACTTATTTTATATCTAGGGAATCCAAGACAAGAACGGCTAAAAAATTAAATAAGTCACAAAGCTTGTTGGTAGTGAAGCCAAACTTAGAATTTTGGTTTCATGATTTTACATTCAGTGTTTTGATTCTGTGTGGTGAGGACTTAGATCTGTGGAGACCACTGTTGTCAAGCATAACTTCAAGTCTGTTTAACTCGTCTTTGTTGAAGAGGAATAAAGTCATAGAACCACTAAGATTCCTAGTTCTACCTTATTGGCAATGTTTGGTTTTGAATTAAGTAATTGGAGCACATTTATACTCTAAAGAGCATAACCTACAAAAGATATACTCACGTACTAGTATTATGTTGGGTAACTTGGAATAGTCATAGAAAAGTATGTAGATTCAACCCTGGCCTAGACTTGAACCAGAATCCTGCAAGGTAGGTTATGGTTAGGTATGTTCAAAGTTTTCTAGGTGTTTCTATTATGCTTCCTAAGGAAGAACCACTAATTTAGTAGCGGTCGTTTTTTGGAAAGGAAGACATAAGACAAATGTGTGGGTTCTATCCACAGATATACTAGAATTGTGGAGTATGGGGTCTTTCATCTCCCCAGTAATTGTTGTGCCCATTAAGATGTGAATAAACAGGGACTGCTCAGTGGAAGAGAGCACTTGCATAACATTTGAAAAGTTCCCTCTTCCATCTCCACCCACTTTTCAGTGAGAGGGCAAGGAGGTGGGGAGGAAAGAGGGAAGTGAGAGAAAGAGGAAGCACACTAGTTGTAGGAGGCTTATATTATCAAGCAAGAGGCTAGAAAGCCAAGAGTCAATGAATTTCCAATCTATTTGTTTAGCTCCCTCTCAATGAAGTATATTTTATATTATGATTCAACAAACTCATAAAACTAAAATGTTTCATAAATCCATCTTTATCCTACCTTGTATAATATTTGCTATCCTAATCTATCCTATGTAATTTTTTGAAGTAGTAATCAAAACTCAGTAAATTGAGTTTTAAACTCATAACTCATTGTAGTTCAAAACACCAAGAATTAAGATGTGCTTGTTAATCATACTCATCACAGATTTAAAACCTCTCTTTGAATCCTACTACTTTCCCCAATTATTCGTGTTAATCCAATAAATATCTGCTAAGGTTGCTTGTCTCTGAGGAAAGTATATCTTTGCCACCATCACACAGTGCTGTGTATAAAAAGTAGCTGACTCTTGTTCCTCTGGTAAGGGAGATGTTGTCATCTCTGATACTGCTAATGGTTTATGTCCTGACATTGATAGAAAACTCAACTCCAACTAAGTTAAGTGGGAGAAAAAAAAAGCAATTTATTTTGCTAATGGATCTAGCCACCTATTGGTAGCTTAGTTTTGGTTTTGATTCATTCTGAATTTAGAGTCACGTATCCTCCTCAAATCTTTTTTCTGAAATGGCTCTTGACATGACAGACTCAGCTCTCCCGTCATGAGAATAGTAGTCTTAAATCACACAGTGCCAAATGCACCTGAGATAAATGACAATTGCAGACTGAATGAAAAACTTCTCAGTTGGGTAATTTAGCCAAGGGAACTCTTGTGTAAGAACTTAGGGTTCATATCTAACCCTGCAACTTGAGGTAGGGCAAATTCTCAGATAAACCACATAGCTAAGGATTATGGAACTCTAAATCCCAAAGGGAATTTGAGAAAATGCTTCTGTTGTCAAAATGAGTAGGTGCTGGGCCACCAAGTGCAGATCTTACCTACAGGGCTATCTATTTTTGTGGCTTTTGCTGTCCTCCTATTTTCTTGTTTGTCATATGGGTTATTTTCTTGCTGCTTTTCTACCTGTAAAAACCAGTATTGTATCCTGAAGTCTCCAGCTAAAATCTCATGGGAACTGGTAATAATTAATTAGCACACAGCTATTGAAATAATCAGAAAGAAAAAAAAAATAAAAAATGAACAATCAGAAAGAATCTGTAGACATTTACTACAGGAAAGAAATGATTTTAATTAACAAGAACAGAATAATACAGTAAAGTGAATCAAGTCATGTATTTGTCAGCATTAAGAAAATGTAGTGGACAAGTTTGCATTACCTCTCCCAGAGTCTTTTAAATAGACTATGGGCCTAAGTTTTTGTTAGGAGGCATCTGAGCATACTGTCCCAACAATACTGTTACCACTAGTAGAGTAAAAGCTATATATAAAAATTAAATACAAAGTACCTGTCTCTTAAAAAAAAGATAGCAAATCTGGTTTTATTTGTTATTTATGCAGTCTATTGTGTAGTTTTTAGCACTTTGTATTCCCCAACTTTTGCCACAAAGCAAAATGAGATTTTTTTTTTTGTATTTGGAAATCAGGAAGCACATAACAGAAATTTAGTAAAGAGAATGGTATTCCATTAGAGTTTTCCCCATATAATCTGGTAAAGAAATAAATTGTAATCAAAGAAAATATTTTAGTGATTTCAGGTCTTGCATCCTTTGAAAGATTTTACTATAAATATGCATGAGACTGAATCTTGTATTGCTTCATTAATAAAATCAGGTTCTCTACTTAGTCTTTGTCACAGTCTTCCCCCGAGCTTTCTAAGATACATATTTTATCCTGAGCTGTATATTTTGCACTGCCAACTAGCCTGCCCAGGTTTTAAGTCTTCTGTCCATCCATGTGTGTTTAGAAAATTCCTATTTCAAATATTCTTTCATAGTTTTTTCCAAAAAAAAATAATGCAAAATAAAAATCTTAAGGTTTGTATTGTTTTTTATAATTTAGTCTATTTTTTTCATAATAGCTTTCAATTCTCTTTTGTAAATATATTTTCTTCTAACAGTATGTCCATTCATTTCTAATTTTCTAATTTCTGTCCTTTAAAAGCTATAGCATTTTAATTGCTTACAGAAACTAATCAGTCTCTCTGTAACAGCGATCTCTATAGGTTACAGAGATTTCAGTAGGTTCTCAATTTTATGAAGGTCTTCATATATATTTTTATGTTTTGATCTGTAGTGTGGCTTGACCTAAGAACACAACCTACTGTTGAGAGCCTTAGTAAAAGAATTCCAGAAAATAATAACTTTGTCAAGGTAAGAAATCTCTTTGGAAGTACATTGTAAGAATGTTTGTTTAAAAACAGTTCACAGATTCCTGAGACAGACTATCTTGGTCTTAAAACCTATGGCAAAATGGTTATTTTATACAAGTTATAGAATATTTCCTTTGGATAACTAGGGCAAAATCATATCTTTTTTTTTAAACAGGGTTTTCAGTGTAGCCTTGGATGTCCTGGACTTGCTTTTTAGATCAAGCTGGCCTTGAACTCACAGAGATCTGCCTGCCTCTGTCTACCAGAGTACTGGGATTACAGGCCTGTGCCACCGCTCCTAGCTCCAAATCGATTCTTTAAAAAAAAAAAAGATTTTATTTATTTTATTATTCATACAGTACTCTCTCTGCCTGCAGGCCAGAAGAGGGCACCGGATGTCATTATAGATGGTTATAAGCCACCATTTGCTTGCTGAGAATTAAACTCAGGACTTTAGAAAGAACAGCCAGTGCTCTTAACCTCTGACTTATCAATTCTTAACCAAATCAATTCTTAACCTTTCTGTCTTTCTTGTCCTGTGAGGCAGATAGAATTATAATACCCTAAGAGTACAGACTAGTAAAGAGTCTAATGTCCCAGTAACTCAAATCATATTCCCCAAGGATGATTTCTTTTATTCACACATACTTTCAGAATCCATCAGCATAGTTTCCTTTTGCCCTCCAGAAGAAAGCTCTGGGTGATTCTGAGTTTTTAGGAATCCAGGAAGAAAGAAAAAGTAGACAGTATTCCAGGCCTTCACTAAAGACCAAAAAAATAATAATAACAATTAATTTTTTCACAAGTTCAAGTTATTCTAGAACCCCCAAAGAAGTTCTGATATTTTTTGGTTTTGTTTTCTTCATTTTTGTTTTTGGTGAGGTGTGTCCCCTTTTTATTTGCCAATAGGACATATATTGGTTCTTGCATCTGAACTTAATGTTCAAATATTAATTAGCAAAATATCTTATGCCTGTTCCCTTCCCTATCTAATTAGTTTCTGTCTTGTCCTGCCCATTTATTTTCTATTCTTGTTTATTTTGTGACCCTACATAACCCTCCCTCCCTCCCACCAGCTTTGCTTTGCTTCAAGGGTTGCATTGTTTCCTCTGTAGTGCCACTGCAGGCAACTTTCACACTCTCCACATGTTTCATTTTAAGACTCTATGTTAGCTTTGCAGGATCTTCTTGAGGACACCCTGTGGGATGTCGCTCTCTGTAGGATGGTGCTACAAGTCAAATAATTTTCAGATGTTAACATTTTTGATGTTATTTTCTTCTGTTATTTCTGATCATTGATCCTCTCTGTCCTCCCAAACATGAAAAAAAAAATCTAGAAACCGTAATTAAGATTTTTAACTTGCAGACTGAATTAAAATATTAGAAAAATATTATGGTTTCTGTTTATGTTTTAATGTGGTGTATGTGTATTTCTTATGTTTTTTTTCCTTTGCTTTTTCAAAACTATGTTTTGTTTGGGTTTTTGTTTGTTGTCTGTTTACTAAAGAAGATAGAAAGAAAAAGGTGTAGTTGAATGGGTGGGGAGGATCTGGGAAGAATTGTGGGAAGGGAACTGTGGTCATTATATATTATGTAAAATTTTATTTCAATAAAAATATTTGAAATCACTTTTGAGACAGGATCTTACTGTGTAGCCCTGGCTGACTTGTAGATCACTGTATATAATAAAAGCTGGTCTCAAATTTGCAGATATTCTCTTTTATGCTTTTTATTGTATGTGTCTTGCTATTTTACCTACATATATTATCTATGTACTACATGAATGCCTGGTGCTGACAGAGGCCTGGAGAGATTATCATATTCCCTGAAACTGGAATTACAGAGAGCTATTTATCTCCATATGGATGCTGGGAACCAAACTTGTGCCCACTGGAAGAGCAGCCAGTGCCCTTAACTGCTAAGCCATCTCTCTAGCTTTTCAATAGTTTTTGTGCTTCTGCCTTCTGTATGTTGCGATTACAGGCATGTACCACTATATCACTTCAGCTGTGATTTGAGTTTTCTTATGAAGTATGCGCATGAGATATGAAAATGGAATAGAATAGGAAGGAAAGAAAGATAGTTATATCACTTTAATTACATCTTTAATTAATTTACTTGTACTTTATATAGAAATTTGATATTTAATATGCTAACAAGAATTAAACTTCACCCATTCTTAAGAAAGATGAATAAGCACACTAGTTTCATCTTTATCCTTTATCCTTTACCCAGTCCACATTTATTCCACTTGTTGTATTTGCTGACTTTAGTCAGCTGATTTCTTACATATAGCAATTCTATATTACTTTAATCTGGCATGTCATTGAGCTCTGGTTTTATTTATTTTCTACTAACCTTGTATTACTTTGTTATTTGAATATATATGGATGGATGGATGTTTATATGTATGTTTGTACACATAGAATATAGTATGTTAGTAAACTATGTGTGCTTGAGAATAATTTTCTTGTTGTTGTCATTAATTTATGACTATTAAATATCACAGTCTACCATGAAAAAAATAAAGTACAGAATTTTGGTTTAAGATTAATACATGAGCAATTTATTGCAAAATGACATTACATTGTCACTATCTACTTAGAAGATGGTGTGTCACTTACTTTTCTCTTTACCTTGCTTACGTGGCTGCTCTTTGAACTGCAAACATAATCACTGTGATCTTTGTTCATGAACATTCTTTCATGTACCATGGAAGAGATAGTACTTTTGTACTTTCATTTCAAAGCTTATAGCATTACCTTCAGAGCTACAAACTAGTTTATATTTGGATTTTTTGTTGTTGTTTAGAGGTTTTGTTTTAAACTATGGTAAGTATAATTTACTGACTGAACTTCATAACTGTTTCAGTCCAAGACAGGCCTTCCACTTAGCACTTACTTCAGTGCAGTGAAACTTCGTTGGCTGCTTGACAACGTGAAAAAGGTTCAAAAGGCTGTTGAAGAAAATAGAGCTCTTTTTGGGACCATTGATTCATGGCTCATTTGGGTATGTTTAAATGTAATATATGCATAGAGAATGTTTTCAGGGATTGTTTTTCTTTTTACTGTCCTACCTACTATTTTCTTTATTAAATTCTTAATGTGTTTTTATTCTTTTACCAGTTCTGGTATGTTTATAATAAAATTTAGTCCATATCACTCATTATCATGTTTCATCCCCCTTCCTTTTTCCACTGAATTCTTTTTTTCCCAGCAAATCCCCTTCCTCAACCAATATTTTGGATTTCTTTTTAGCATTATTCTTGAGAAAAACTACTCAAGATGCAGCAGAATATCTCTGCCTCCATTTGAGGGATATTTTTATCTATTTCTCTTCTTTACTTTTCTTGTTTTATTTGAGTGACAGTGGAAGATAATTACCAAAATCATATTTCATAACTCTTATCTTTTAGGCAAGTAATTTTGGAAGTTATTCTCCCATGTCTATCATTTTCTTCTATCTCACTCTTTCTTAGAAGAAATAACTATTTCATGTAGTAAAATGCCTATACTATTTTCTCCTTCACTGTCAACATTTTATAGCTTTCTCTTGTGAAATCATGCCAGGATATGAAACTAAACCATAGCAGAAGTTTATATTAAAATATTTTGTCCAGAGCTGAACATAGGTCAGTAGAAATCACCATGTTAGGTACTTATATGACATGTTACTTTTCTCTTTTTGACTTTTTAGGATAGGGTCTCAGTATACAAACTTGACCAGGCTGCAATTCAGTTCACTATGTAGACCCTGTTGGACTTAAAACTGGTGCTAATCCTCTAACCTCAGTCTCCTGACTGAGTCTTGAGATGCAGACACGTGTCACTATATTCAGGCATTTCTAGTCTTTGTCTCTCTGTCTTACTCTGTCTCTGTCTGTCTCTCTCTCCCTCTTTCTAACAGGATTTTGCTGTGTAGCCCTGGCTGAGTTAGAACTTGCTGTGTAGAACATAGACACCTACCTGCCTCTGCCTCTCAAATGTCAGGATTACATGTATATGCCACCACCCCTGGCTTGCAATGTAGCTCTTTAGATGTTAAAAATTATTTATTAGTGTGTATGGGTATTTTGCCTGCATGTATGTATGTGCATCATGTGCATGAAGTATCCTCCAGGGATGGAGGAGAGTGTCATATACCTTGGGACTAGAGTTGATACAGTTGTGAGCTGATGTGCAGGTGCTGGTGGTTGAACCTGGGTCCTCTGGAAGGAAGACCCAATGCCCTTAATTGCTGAGCCATCTCTGTAGCCCAAATATTTACCTTTATAGTATATGTCCTTTTGTGGTTCACTTTCTCTTTCCCCTTTTATTCCTGTTATGTTTATTATGGACATTTTTTTTCTGTTAATGTGCCCCCAAAACAGACAATACTGTAGCCAACATAGGCAATACAGTAAGCCAACTGTAAGATCATAAACTTTTGTGCCATTCTTCCTTCAACTATACTCACACAATTCCAAACACATAATTCGATTTGTAAATACACCAATGAGGAACTTTTTCAACATTTTGGGGAACTTCAAGCCAGTATACTGTTCTTATTCTCAGTTATGGAACCCATACTGTAGAACTTTCAGAATACTTCCTGAAAGATTTACCTTCTTCACCCTGCCAAGGAATGTATACTTTGTAGGAGCCAACTGTTTTCTCATATGTCAGTCACAGTTGCCTTAAAGCTGAAGGATATGGGACCCATGAGCTGTAGGAGACACTTTGGGGCTCCACCCAATGGCATGCTGTTTATCTACCTTTGTTCTGTTCTGGCTTCTCATTGTTTATACTTGAAGGAAGCCAGCATTGCTTCCCAATGTGTTATAGAGAGCTTACAATTCTGCTTTCAGGATGTATGCAAAAAGATATGTTATTAAAAAAGAAAATGTGAGGGCTGGAGAGATGGCTGAGAGGCTAAGGGCACCAGTTCCTCTTCCAGAGGTCCTGAGTTCAAGCCCCAGCAACCACATGGTGGCTCAGAACCATCAATAGTGAGATCTGGTGCCCTCTGCTGGTGTTCAGGCAGAACAATGTATGCATAATAAATAAAATAAATATTAAAAAAATAAAGGAAAACGTGAATACACAAGGTTTTCTATAAACCTTTCCACCTAGTGGAAACATTCCACCTAGTCAAATTTTATAAGGCTCTGAATTTTCCAAAGATAGATTAAATACAAAACTAATTTCTGTTTAACCAGAAATTAGCTAGAATTGTATGAATACAGTGGCCACATGAGGTTATGAATAATGAATACTTGAATGTTGTCAGTCTGAACTGTGATATAGTACAAATATAAAATACACACTGAATTTCATAGATTTATAAAAAAAAGAAGGTAAAGTATATTAATGATTTTATTTGTGTTCAAATGTTATTTTTGATATATTAGCTAAATAAGATAAAATATAGGAAATATAGTTATTTTATATTTATATTTCTTGTGTGTTTTTAAAATAGCTACTTTTTCATTACATTTGTGTGTGTGTGTGTGTGTGTGTGTGTGTGTGTGTGTGTGTGTGTGTGCACGCGTGCACGTGTATATGTGTTTGTAGGAGTGAGTGCCTGTTAGGATATGTGTGGAGGTCTGAGGACAACTTGTGTGAGTCAGTTCTTTCTTTCCACCATGTGGGTCCCAAGAATCAACTCAGGTCCATCAAGCTTGGCAGCAAGTGCCTTACCTGATGAGCCATCTTGCAGGCCCTGCTACTAGACATTTTAAAATTGCATGTGTAGTTCACATTGTATTTCTTTTGATTTAGTACTGCTGAGACCTCAATTATTGAAATGTTGGATTCTTCCACTTGTTTTGTGTGCCCTGCTGCTGATAATTACCCTTGACAATAAATAATTCTACAGATTAGTTCAGATTTAACCTGTCCCTTTTGTTCTATCTAGAGTTTGACAGGTGGAATCAATGGGGGTGTCCACTGTACAGATGTAACAAATGCAAGTAGGACGATGCTTTTTAACATTCATTCTTTGGAATGGGATAAAGAGCTCTGCGAGTAAGTTATGTTTTGACCTAAATGTAGTTTCTCCTATACATTCTTTTATATACATTATTTGTTTGAAATCTGAATGTTACTCTTTGCAGATGGTAGTTGTATACCAATATTTATTGCTCATATTTCAACTACAATATGCTAGTTTGTATTTGTATGAGGATATTTGTTTTGTTGTTTTATGGGAATTTTGGCATAATTTTTCACTGTAGCCTAGAATAATCTTGACTTTGTGGTGATTCCCCTGCCTCAGCATCACTAGTTCTGGGATGAAATACCACAGCCAGCTTCTATTATATATGTGTGTTTTAACATTTTATATTATGTGTGGGTGTACATATTCACATTCAAAGACACTGGGCTAAGCTGTATTTAGACTAGAAGGCATTTATAAGTCAGCTTCTTCCTGACCTTTGGCTTCCATGAATCAAACTCTGTTCATTAGATTTGGCGGTGCCTTTACCTTCTGAACCATCTCATCAATGATGAGTGTTGCACATACAATAAACAGGTCATGTTAATTATTCCTTTTTTAGAAAAGTTCTTTGTTTTCAGAGTGTGCTTTTAACTTTGTAATGATTTGGTTGTTTAAGGGTGGACTGTTAAATTCCCAAACATACATCTAGGGATCTTTTGACTAATAGTTTATCACTGTTGCGTTCTATGCTCAGATGTACCACATGTTTATTCAAAACAGTATTATGTACTCAAAGCTGTTGTTTTTCAGATTTTTTGGAATTCCAATGGAAATTCTTCCCAGTGTCCGGAGTTCTTCTGAGATCTATGGCCTAATGGTAAAATAAATAGCAGGTGGAAGGGATTTTATTAAACAAGAAAAGACTTTTGCTATTTAGAATTCAACACTCAATTTTGTTATGTTTTATAGCTTGGTGTTTGGGACTTTCTCTGTGAATGTCGGTATTATGTAAAAAAAGAACTTAATGTTTTTAAATGGCTTTACTTTTTAAGTGACTAATATGTTTATCGTATTGAATTCTATGCTCAGATTTATCTATTTTCTAATTATCTGTATTAAAATGTTTTACATGTTTATTCAAAACAGAATATTATATACCCAAAGCTAAAAACTACCTATTTATTTTATACTTACAAACTTTAATTGGCTTTTTATTGTTTTTCTCATTTGAATATTAATATTTTTAAGTTTTGTAGATAACCTAACTCTGAACAGTGGTGGGAATGTTTTAGCCAGTTTATTCTTCCACATTACTGTAGTAGCTGTGATGTCTGCTTTTAATTTAGAGCAGGTATTGTTCACATTTTAATAGTGTTCTTTTACCTAGTTAATCCCTTTTAATGGCTAAACCATTGTTATATATTCATTCTTTGTCAGTTTGGAACAATTTAACAAAGAAACTGAAAACAAAGAGTCTATTTGTAAATGAGGTTGCTAATTAAGGTGATTTCCTTAATGGGCATTTTGCTGAAACCCAGAGGGAAAAAAGTAAGTGTGTTTAACATCATTGAAAATCTGTAGTCAGATATCAGGAATAGAAACGTTTAGGAGGGTTTGAACTGGTATTTGAGCATACAAATTTGAAATGTATGATAAAACTTAAGAATAAGTTTACAGAAGCTTTAAAAGTAACCATTTCATGAAAAATGTTAGGAACTCCACTCATAGAGCTGTTAAAAATAAAACTAAATGCCAAATGTTCTTCTAGTTAGTGCTACAGCAAGAATTTAAGTACTCTATGTAGAATAAGGATTTTAAAGGCAATATGAAATTATTTAAGGCAGGGATAGTCACTGCTTATCTGTAGTACTTCTGTAGTTTTCGTAGTGATCACAAACTCACTTGGTTCAGAGCAAAAGAAGGTATTTTTGAAATACCTTCAGAGAATGATTGAAAGAAAACATGTAATTGGCCTAGTTTTCTCTTGCATTTAAAATATTATGCTTCTGTCCCCCTCTCTCCCCCTTGCTGACTATAGAAAATCTCTCATAGCTTGGTGAGTAGGCTATCCACTGATTATGCCACTTTTCATTTTGAAAAGATACAGTGCATTTCCATTTATTTTCAGTCAAGCATAAATCCATTCACTAAACAAACATATCTAGAATTTCCATGAGCTTCCAAAAAATTATAAGCTGTAGTCATATTTTAAGGATTTTTTTAAATAAAAGAAGCAGAATCTTAGTATTCATTTGTATTTTCCTCAAGATTAAAATAAATGTTTCTAAAATTCTGGGAGAGCTTTCCAGAGATTTGGATGCTTCCCATTGCAAAGTACAATTATGATATACTCTGGCCTTTTAAGAAATTAGGAAATTAGAAATGCTTTTTAAATATCCTGAATATATGTGTGTGTATATATATAAATGTATTATAAAATATTTTGCCCAGTATTTCAGACCAGCTAGTTGGAAATGCACTGTCACTTTTTCTGCATGCTTCCTCAGAGGACCCTCCTGGAATCCTCCAGAAGCTTCTTCGAATAAAGAGAACAGAATGCTTTACATGCCTGAACATTTCTTAGATTATGTTAAAAGTTTGATAATTTTGGAAGAATAAGCAGACATTTTATGATAAATATATCAAGACAGAAATCTTCTAGGTTTCCTAATGATTACTTGTTAAGCCTTCTATTGAGTCTAGCCTTTATTAGTATCCAAAGAATATCAACAATAAATAAAACTATCAGGTCCTAGGCAAAGAGTGTGACTCAGTAGTGGAGGACTTGCTTGTTTCATTAGGCCCTGGATTTGATCCCTAGCACTAAAAATCCAACCTTGAAAAATAGCCAATCCTTTTTTTAAATTTTGTTTTGGTTTTTGGTTTTGTGGAGACAAGGTTACTCTGTGTAGCCTTGGTGGTTCTGGACTCACGTTGTAGACCAGGCTGGCCTCTAACTCAGAGATCCAGCTGCCTCTGCCTCCCTGAGTGCTGGGATTAATGGTGTGTGCCACTACACCAGGCTAAATAGCCAATCTAAACCAGAAAGCATAAAAGAAAGAAAGCAGGAAGAATCTAGAGGTCATTTTTCATTTTGCTAAGGGCATATGTATTACCTACTATGAAAGATACGTGGAGAAGAAACTATTGTTGCCTTCTTCGTGTCAACAGCTTGGACACTGCAGGTCCCAGGGCCATTTTCTAACAAATGGTAGGCAAAGTAATCAACCTGAAGTTTTTCATTTAGTGTTCTTTCTGATATATCATCCTTACTTTAGGGATCACATTTATTTCTTTAATCCCTTAATATCAGTACAAATACCTCTGTAGAAATATTGTTTTCTTTCTGTGACTCCTGGGAACTAGACCCAGGGCCCATTATATGTTAGGAAATAGCTGTAGCAATGACATATATCCTCAGCATTGTAATATGTTTTTTTCAAAAACTATTTTATACAGATTTGGCAGCCAGACACTAAAATCCCTCTTTGCTTCTTGCTGGCCATAGTAATTGAAATAAAGAAAATTATTTATAAATTGTTACTTGTCTAAATTTAACTGTCTTTGAACAAATATCTGAAATCCAAACACTCTTGCTTCTTAAAAGCAGTTTTGAGGAGAAAGAAGAGTTGATAAAATATAGCCTCTGGAAACCATGTTCCATGCTAGCTAGTTAGATAGTTTTTTAAAAATATGTTGGTTGTCTCATAATAGCAGCAACAATATCAAAGCATTAACTTTGATCTGTGATCACATACGTACCCCAGTTGTCATTTTTGAAAATAAATAAGTTATATAGTTTGATTGCAGCAGCCTGTCTGTGGCCTAACACTAACTAACTGAGTAAAGAGCCTGTGTCTCCTGACTGCCAGTGCAGTATTTTAGGTTCTTTTTTCAGTGCCCTGTCTCTTCTTGTCATTTTACAAATACTTGTAGTTGCTGTCTCTGTCCCGCACATGTAGTTGAAACACTTCCTTTGTCTTGTCTGCTCATATCCTTTGGCATGTTGCTTTCTTGTTCATTCCTATTGCAGTTATGTTACTTGAAACAAATTTTTGTGACTGTGCCTAACCATTTTTTAAAAATTTTATCAGAAAGCTGGGGCCTTGGAAGGTGTGCCAATATCTGGGGTAAGTGCCAATATCTGGGGTAAGTATTTTCCTGTCACTCCCCTCACACACACACCTACTCACAGACACACACACACACACACACACACACACACACACATATACACCCTATCCTACATTGTTGTAGTTTTCCTCATCTATCTTAATCCTTCTGCCTTTTCTTGAACTGGGAAGGATAAGTAAGAGCATCAATGCTGGCTACTTGTTCTTCTGTGACACCGGCTGGGTCACTGAAAATCTTTTGAGGAATTTCTAAGTCTGGCATAGTGATGCTCTCCAAGCCCAAAACATTGGATTCCTCACTTAAATTTTAGCCTCAGCCATATAGTGAATTAGAGGCCAGCATGGGTTACATGATATTGTTTCTCCAGAAAGGAAGAAAGAGATAAAGAGAAGGGGGAGGGTTGAGAAAGAAAGAGGGAGGAAGACAAGAAGAAAACTGAATTCTAACTCTCCTTTCTTATATCTTATATCTTGATTAACAAATGGGGGAAATGCCATGGGAGGAAATATAATGCATAGATATTTCACTCCTTGATGAATTAAAATACACAAAAATAAACGTTTGGCTTTTTAGGAAATGAAATTAGTAATATTGTCTCAGTATTTTTATTGTCATTTATAATTTTAGTGTTTGGGGGACCAGTCAGCTGCTTTGGTGGGACAAATGTGCTTTCAGGATGGACAAGCCAAAAACACGTGAGTTTAAAACATTGTTGTTTTATTTACTTTTCTTTCCTGATACTTTAAAGGAAGAAAGGTTTTTAGAGTTCATCCAAAATGCAATACTTCAGTATGGATATACACATTGTTTCTGCAATTTTTCCCCGGTTTCTTCCTTTTCTCTTTTCTCTCTCTGCCTTGACTCTTTTTTAAATATATTTATTTTATTACAATTTATTCACTTTGTATTCCAGCTATAGCCCCCACCCTCATCCTCTTCCAATCCTCCCCTCTCTCCCTCCCTACCACCCTATCTCCTCCCATTCTCCTTCTCCAATCCATTGATAGGGGAGGACCTACTCCCCTTCCATCTGACTGTTAGCATATCAGGTCTCGTCAGGACTGTCTCTCATAGTCTTCCTTTGTGGCTGGTAAGGCTGCCCCATTCAGGGGGAGGTGCTCAAAGAGCCAGCCATTGAGTTCCTGTCAGAGACAGCCCCTGTTCCCCTTACTACAGAGCCCATTTGGAGACTGAGATGCCACAGGGTACATCTGTGCAGGTGTTCTACATTGTCTACATAACTGGTACTTAGTTGGAGTATCAGTCTCAGAAAAGACCCCTGTGCCCAGATTTTTTGGTTTTGTTGTTCGCTTTGTGGATCTCCATACCCTTCCAGGTCTTTCTATCTTCCCCTTCTTTCATAAGATTCCCTGCACTCTGCCCAAAATTTGACTATAAGTCTCAGCATCTGCTGTACTTGAGACTTGCTGGATAGAGTCTTTCAAAGGCCCTCTGTGGTAGGCTCCTGTCTTGTTCCTTGTTTTCACTCTCTTCTGATATCTATCCCATTCACCTTTCTGAATGAGGATTAAGCATCTTACCCAGGGTCCTCCTTCTTGCTTAGCTTCTTTAGGTGTACAGATTTTAGTATGATTATCCTATATTATATGTCTAATATCCACTTATGAGTGAGCATATACCATGTGTGTCTCTCTGCTTCTGGGATACCTCACTCAGGATGATCTTTTCTGGATTCTAATATTTGCCTGCAAATTTCATGATTTCCTTGTTTTTAATTGCCGAGTAGTATTTCATTGTGTAAATATACCACAATTTCTGTATCCATTCCTCAACTGAGAGACATCTAGGTTGTTTCCAGGTTTTTTCTATTACGAATAAAGCTGCTATGAACATGGTTGAGCAAATGTCCTTGTTGTATATTTGAGCATATTCTGGATCTATGTCTAGGAGTGGTATATGAGGAAGCACTATTCCTAATTGTGTGAGAAAGCATCAGATTGATTTCCAAAGTGGTTGTACAAGTTTACATTCCCACCAGCAATGTAGGAGGGTTCCTCTTTCTCCACATCCTCTCCAGCATGTGTTGTCACTTGAGTTTTTGTTATTAGCCATCCTGATGCGTGTAAGGAGAAATCTCAGGGTCATTTTGATTTCCATTTCCCTGATGACTAAAGATCTTGAGCATTTCTTTAAGTGTTTTTTCTGCCATTCGATGTTCTACTATTGAGAAATTTCTGTTTAGTTCTGTGCCCCATTTTTTAATTGGATTACTTGATTTGTTGCTGTTTAACTTCTTAAGTTCTTTATATATTCTGGATATTAGCCCTCTGTCAGATATAGGTTTGGTGAGGATCCTTTCCCAATCCAGAGGCTGTCATTTTGTTCTGATGACAGTGTCCTGTGCTTTACAGAAGCTTTTCAGTTTCATGAGGTCCCATTTATTGATTGTTGCTCTTAGAGCCTGTGCTGTTGGTGTTCTACTCAGGAAGTTGTCTCCTGTGCCAATGAGCTCAAAGCTCCAATTTGTCTTCTAACAGGTTTAGTGTATCTGGTTTTATGTTGAGGTCTTTGATCCACTTGGACTTTAGTTTTGTGCTGGATGATAAATATGGATCTATTTACCTTTTTCTTCATGTAGATATCCAGTTAGACCGGTACCATTTGTTGAAGATGCTATCTTTTTTCGACTGTATGGTTTTGGCATCTTTGTAAAAAATCAGGTGTACCTAAGTATGTGGGTGTATTTCTGGGTCTTCTATTTGATTCCATTGATCCACCAGTCTGTTTCTATCCCAGTACCATGCAGTTTTTATTACTGTTGCTCTATAGTACAGCTTGAGATCAGGGATGGAGATACCTCCAGAAGATCTTTTATTGTAGAGGATGGTTTTATCTATTCTGGGTTTCTTCTTATTCCATAAGAAGTTGAGAATTTTTCTTTCAAAGTCTCTAAAGAATTGTTTTGGTAATTTGATGGGAATTGCATTGAATCTGTAGATTGCTCTTGGTAAGATGGCCATTTTTACTATGTTAATCCTACCAAGCCATGAGCATGGGAGATCTTTCCATCTTCTGATATCTTCTTTTATTTCTTTCTTCAGAGACTGGAAGTTTTTTCATTCAAGTCTTTGACTTGCTTGGTTAGATTTACACCAAGGTATTTTCCCTTGACTCTTATATAGCCCAGGTTGGCCTGAAGTTCCTGATCTTTCTGTCTCAAATTGTCAGGTACTAGATTTTTTTTTCATCTTTTTTTTTAAATTTTTTTATTAATTACACTTTATTCATTTTGTATCCCCCCATAAGCCCTTCCCTCCTCCCCTCCCGATCCCACTCTCCCTCCCCTTTCTGCATGCATGCCACTCCCCAAGTCCGCTGATAGGGGAGGTACTCCTCTCCTTTCTGGTCTTAGTCTATCAGTTCTCATCAAAAGTGGCTGCATTGTCCTCTACTGTGGCCTGGTAAGGCTGCTCCTCCCTCAGGGGGAGGTGATCAAAGAGCAGGCCAATCAGATTATGTCAGAGGCAGTCCCTCTTCCCATTACTATGTAACCCACTTGGATACTGAACTGCCATGGGCTACATCAGTGCAGGGGTTCCAGGTCATCTCCACGAATAGTCCTTGGTTGGAGTATGAGTCTCTGGGAAGTTCCCTGTGTTCAAATTATCTTGTTCTGTTGCTCTCCTTGTGGAGTTCCTGTCCCCTCCAGCTCTTACTATTTCCCACTTCTTACATAAAATTCCATTTACTCTGCCCATCAGTTGGCCATCAGGCTCAGCATCTGCTTTGACAGTCTATACTGCAGAGGCTTTCAGAGGCCCTCTGTGGCAGGTTTCAAGGTTGTTTCCTGTTTTCTTCTGGCTTTCAGAAAGGTACTAGATTTTTACGGTCATCTGTCATGACACCCAATTTTTTGCCATGCTGGGAATTACACCCATGCTAGTATGTTAGACTTGCATCTGCCAAGTTAACCACGTCCTCAGTTCTGGTTTTGTATTTTGTTTTTAATTTGATTTTGGTGTTTTTGAGATAGGACCCAACTCTAACCCACTGAAACTGCCACTAGGTTGCTTAAGACTGAACAAAAAGTTCATAGAAACCTTTCTGTCTCAGCTTCCCAAGTTTCTGGGGTTTGTTTTGTTGTTTACCCTGAGGCCACATTTAATGGATTGGGGTTATGAAGAGGTGAGCAAAAGCTATAATACAAATTAAAATTTTCAGTGTATTATTCTGCTGAGGGTTTTCCCCTTAACCAATCTCAAAGTATATTTTTATAGGATATTTAATGCTATTTTCTTGGTGATTTCCTCCTCATCTGAAGTAACTCCACTGATCAGAAACAGCAAGAAGAATTAATAATGCTTCTCTCCTATTATTCTCTCTTAATTTGTTTTATTATAAGAAAGTGTCTATCCCATTTCATATATTCAATGGAAGAGTTATGTGTAATGGTCCATATACTTGAGATATTTTCACTCAGTGCACATAAATCCTATTATTTGTGAATCCTATTATTCCTATTTCATAAGTCAGGTAACTAAGATTTAGAGAGAATAATTAATTTACATAATATCATGAATGTGGTAAGTCAGAGGCATAATATTTGTATATTAATTCATTGTATTCCTTAGTTGTGGCCCTAGACGTCTATGTTTTATTGTCTTCCCTGTGTAGAAAACATTTCCATAAACTTAAAAAAAAACTATATCTTTTTATCTTTCGTTTTATTTTTTAAGTTATTTTGGTTTCTTGTTTTTCTTACTTTTTATATAGTTATAGCTTTTTAAAAATTTTTTCAGCCAGGTGTGGTGGTGCATGCCTGTAATTCTGGGAGGCAGAGGCAGGAATATCTTTGTGAGTTCAAGGCCAGCCTGATCTACAAAGCAAGTCCAGGACAGCGAGGGCTCTATTACACAGAGAAACCCTGTCTTAAAATACCACAAAATTGTTTTTCTTTCACCTATAACTTCCCTACTGCAAGTTTCCCTTCCCCTAGGTACCCTCCCCCCATATCAACCATTTCCACTCCACCCATCCCTGCTCTGCCTTTCCTCAGAAAAGAGTAGGCCTCCTAGGGACATCAACCAAACATGGCATAAAAACTACAATAACAACAGGCACATACTATTACATCAAGGCTGGGCAAGGTAGCCAAATAGGGTCCCACAAACAGGCAAAAGACTCGAGCACAGCCCTTTCTTCCATTTTTAGGAGTCCCACAAGAACATGAAGCTACTAAGCCATAACATATGTCAGACCCTACAGCCTCCCTGATCTTTGCAAGCCCCCATGAGACCCAGGCTGATGATTCTGTGGGCCAGAAGACTGTATTGTCAATGGTTTTTTTTTCTCATGAGAACATCCTAATTCTGTCATCAAGGGTTTTTGTTAATTGGTTCGGATTTGTTGTCTGTTTTATTTTGTTTTGTTTTTTAAGGTTTTTGTTCTTGTTTTGTTTTTGTTGTCTTTTGGAGACAGGGTCTTGCTGTGTAGCCCCTGTGCCTGGAGCTTACTGTGCATCTCAGCCTGGCCTGAATTTAAACTCATCATCCTCCTGCCTCAGTCTCCCAGGTGTTAAGTTTAGAGTCATGATATTTTATTTACTGGTTGTTGGGTTGTATTTTCAGACAAGGTCTTATGTAACTCAGCCTGTCCTTGGACTTGCTATTTTAGGATAATAATTATGGGATTACAAGCATGCACTACCATGATGACTTCTTTATTTTTTAATCATTTATTTACTTTTATTTTTATGTATATGAGTGCTCCATTTGCATGTACACCTGCATGCCAGAAGAGGATATTAGAGGCTGTAGATGGTTGTGAGCCACCATGTGGTTGCTGAGAATTCAACTCAGAACCACTGGAAGAGCAGACAGGGCTCTTAACTTCTGAGCCATCTCTCTATCCTGACTTTTTTATTTTTGACTTAGGTGAATAAGTTTTTTTTTTTCTACAAATAATAAAATAACTAATAGTTCTAAAATATATGCTATTGTAATTCAACAGGGCCAGCCACCCTCATGTAAAAGGATTACCTTATTGGAATGAAACTTTGTTTAGAAGAGGTTATATGAAAATTCATTGAAGGTGTGGTGACCTCAGGTTATGAAGGAGCACTTGAGTCAACATAAGCATGAAAACATTTTCTTTGAATCAGGGTTCCAGCAACAGAATCGGGAAAACTAGGCTGTCTTTTTTTTTCCCTTTTCCTCCTCTGCCAGGAACACTAATGCCAGTAAATCAGATGCTATCTCTATGTCCAATACCTAGCACAGTACGTAGTACATAATAGGGACCCAGTAAAACAGCTTTCATTTCCCCCTTTTATTCCTCTCTCTCTTTACCATTGGCAGCTAAGTCTATAAATTAATAATTAAAATCAGGTAGCAATTGTTTTAGTACCTACATAGTGACTGTAGGTTGTAGGAGGGAAACAGCAAATCATAGATTGTGATCTCACAATTCTTACCCCAAGGGGATATAACACAAATATCCAGTTAATGGTATACAAACTAGAGTTTACATGGCATAAGAAACATTCAAATAAAGTTATGGGCTTTCATAATGAGGCCAGAAAAAAATCACAAATGATTATATAAATGGGTTCAGCATGTAGCTCATTGGTAGAGTAGTTGCCTTGCACAACACCCTGGACTTGCTCCAGCACTATTAAAAATCCATTATGCTAGTAGTGAGACATTTTACAGAATGGGCAGTACTGGAGAATGCAGGGGACACTTAACAAGGATACAGATAGTAAGATTTAGTATAGAAAATGGAGAGAACATTGGGGTAGGAAAATGGTAGAAAATAAGACAACATGAGCCCAGTGGTTCTGGCCTGTATTCCAGGCACTTGGGAGACAGTCTAGTCTAAATGATAAATGCCACATCAGCCTGAGGTACTCAGCATAAAACAAACAAACAAACAAACAAAAAACAGCTGTGGGCGTGGGTGGTATTTAGAAGAACAATGTAGTGTAGGTACATGTATGGGAGTAACTGTCATCCTGGCAGGAAGGAGAAACACAGGACTTAGTATAACCTTAAGGACTTAGTATAACCTTAAGGCATACATCCAGTGACATATCCTCCAGCTAGGCCCCACCTCCCATAGCATCCATAACCTTCCAAAATAGCACCAGATGTTCAAATCATGAGCCAGCGAGGGGTGTTTCATTCACATCATAACAACCATGCTGTAAAGCTGTAAAGTACAAGTCAGGATGTTTATTTTTTTTTTTATTGTTTGTTTGTTTCTTTTTTTATTCTTTTCTCCTTGATAGAGAATTGGTAACCTCTGAACATTTTCAAGATATGTTTAAGTGTGACTGGATTTGTCAGTTAATATAATGACAGTCTTGGGTCACAGCTAGGAGAAGCTAGACTTGTAGTATAATAAGCCACTATATCCTAATACTGCAGAGTCAGAGAATGGGGACATAAAGAGATACAGAGATACATAGGACACTGCAGAGAGGCAAGGGAGAAGTGAGGTCTAAACCCAGGGACAGACAGTTAGGATTACTCAAAGTAAGAAACGGGTCCAATAGAAGAATTTGTGTTTGGACCTTGTTTGTGGTACATATACTACTCACACAAGGAAATGTGAAATAAGTATAAATTGTTTTATGTAAGTGTTTTGCCTACATGTATGTCTGTGCAATATATGTCTGCCTAGAACACATGGAAGTCCACAGACAGCATCAGATAACCCGGAACTGGAGTTGCAGATGGTTGTGAGGTATTATGTGGATGCTGGGAATTGAACCTAAGGCCTCTGCAAGATTAACAAGTTCTCTTACCTCTGTGCCACCTCTCCAGCCCTTGTTTGCATTTTAAAAGCATAAAATTGTCAGGTGTGTTGTAACATGCCTTTAATCCTAGCACTCTAGAGGCAGAGGCAGGCAGATCTAGCATTGAAGTTAAGACTTGTGGGACAGGAATTCCAAGCTTAGGCAGTGTCTTAGGGTTGCTATTGTTGTGAAGAGACACAAACACCATGGAAACTTTTTTTTTTTGTTTCTCTGTGTAGCCTTGGCTGTCCAAGACTCATTTTTTATACTATGCTGGCCCCGAGTTCACAGAGATCTGCCTCTGCCTCCCTAAGATGCTGTGATTACAGATGTGTGCCACTGCACCTGACTCCATGGCAATTCTTAATAAGGAAAACATTTAATTGGGGCTGGCTTACAGTTTCTGGTGTTTAGACTATTATATATTGTCATGATGGGAAACATGGCAACACATAGGCAGAAGTGGTGCTGGAGAAGGAGCTGAGAGTTCTATATCTGTATTTGCAGGAAAAGAGAATGAGCCACTGGGCCTGTTTTGAGCTTTTGAAACTTCAAAGCCCACCCCCAGGTGACACACTTCCTCCAGAAGGCTACACCTCCCAATAGTGCCACTCCCTATGACCAAGTATTGGAACGCATGAGTCTGTGGGTGCCGTTCCTATTCAAACCACCACAGGCAGAGTCAATTGTATATATGGTTGTAGCAGTCTTGTTATCCCTGCTCACTTTAAAACTGTTTCTCTATGACCTTTACTAGTTCAGTTGGGGTTATTAACTAATCTTCCATACACAAATCAAAAGTATGTATTATGTTCAAGAGTGAGACTTGTGGCATAGTCCAAAGCTTATAGTGATAAGACTGCCACAAAGTTCATTTCATCCATATCAACCACGTTGAGTTCTGATTTTGATTATCTTACCACTGCTGGAATACATTACCCTGTAGAGAGAATGAGATCAGTAACCCTTAAATAGCTTTTCCTTGTATGTCATTTTTTTGTCCTAGCTACTCTTTCTGCTATTCCATGCTCAGCTTTTCATCCTTCCAGAACATTGTGGTGTTTCTCAGTCCATAGTTATTATTAGTGATAGAGCTAAGCCGACCAACTATATTTTTGAAGAGCCATTAGTTGTGATGCTTCACCCCGTGGAAATCAGGGGTAACTTAAATGCAACTAGGTGTAGAATTTGTTATAATTCAGTTGTATTTTATAAATACACCATTAGCCTATGACTGACCAAATGCTAAATCCTTTATCTGCATCTTCTCCATCAATTGCTATCAAAATATTTCCTTCTAGACTGATTTTTTTTTAAAAAGTACTCTTAAAGAGTATTTAGTGTGTGATGTTTGTTAGTTTTCAATAGTTTTAAAAACCTTCATAAAATGACTTTTATTGTATTAAGTAAAATGTCAGTTTTGATTATTTAAAAAACTAAGATTTTGCTATTTGCTTTTAATAAAATTGTCATGCTATTCATTTTTCCACCTATAGGTATGGAACAGGGTGTTTCTTACTGTGTAACACAGGCCATAAGGTTGGTTTTTCTTTTGAGTTCAGATTGATGAAAGTCGTCTTTTCAGTCATATATATAATGCTTAAATATAATTCATTATTAATGTGATTTTGGGGCCTTCATCTTTTACTTAAACGTGGTTTAACTTGGTTCAATAGAAGTAATGAAAATCAAAAAATTTGAGTGATTTTAGTATGAGGCCTGCTATGCTTTTTTAATTTCATATGTGTTCATTTGCTTGTGTTAATGGAAATAGATGTATTATCATCAGATTGTTAGCAAAAAATCTAATTTGAAATAAGGAATAACGTTTTAGCAGTCTGAGTGGGTTTTTATTAATCACTAAGATTTTTAATAATTATTTTATTGATTGAGTTATTATGAATAAACATACTTTATTTTAACTTTAAAGAAATGTCCTCACATAGAAACCAGGTGTCCTAATACACACCTTTAATCCCAGCACTTGAGAGGCAGAAGTGGGCAGATCTCTGTGAGTTCAAGACTTACCAGGACTACACAGTAAAACTTTGTCTTAAAAACTGAAAAGGCTTTATACTTGCCTTTAAATTTTTCTACCCTAAAATCTTTGTTTTTTCTTTCCTACAGTGTGTATTTTCTGAACATGGCCTTTTGACCACTGTGGCTTATAAACTTGGCAGAGACAAACCTGTGTATTATGCATTGGAAGTAAGTTCTTTTCAGTCAGTATAGATGATATGACACAGTTAATAAAGATTACCATGCATTCTGGGGGAAGAGGCATTATTTTGAGACAGGATACTGTCCCGTATCCCTGGCCGGTGAAGAACTCTTTGTTTGTCTCCTCAAATTGACCTTGAGCATATGGCAATTTTTCTTCCTCTACAATTACTTGAGCAACACACCTGAGGAAATTACGATGCTTTCTAACATATTTCAGATGTTAATATTTTAATACATAGGACTTAAATATTCTACTTTTTTGTCCTTTGATTGGGTAAAAAGAACCTTGGACTAAACTAGGCTCCCATGAGACAAGATTATACCATCTCCTCAGTTGTTGGTACCAACTAAATTTGTCAACTTGGGGATATTATTTACTTGCTGTGCAATCTAAAATTTTCTATCCTTTAAGTTTAATAATGGGATTAGCTGGCTCTAGTGCTCTATCAGCTTAAAAATTTAGTAACTAAAATGACCCAGTATTTCATAGTGAATCATTGAACACAGAAAGGCAGAGAAACTCTTCTTCACTTGTGTTTCTATTAGTATTGTGTTACATATGGACATGGGAAACAAAGATATGTGATTTGTCCCATTCATCCTGGGAAACATCTGTTTCAGACATCTTTGCACATTGTGATCGGTCTATGTTTGTAGGGCATGATAGGTTTGTACAAGAGACACTAAAGGAATTGATGTAAAGATCGGTGATAGAGTAATTTGCCTCAAGGTACCAGCTGACTCCTAGGTTCAGGCTCAAGCATCACAAATAAATAAATAAATAAAGAACAAACATTGGTTTAGTGTCACAGAAGCATATTTTGCTTCGAAATATTTTGCTTGTAAAATCAGACACAGTCAGTTTTGGATCTTTTTAAATGTACTATTAGATATTGGCTACAGGGTCTCATGTGCTCTAGGAAGTGTCTATCACTGAGCTACATTCCTAACTGTATATAATTAGCCTTGGAAGAACTACCTGATGCCTTATTGGGACTCATTTCTTAGACCGCCCAATGATAGTTCAGTCAAGGGCTTAGACTTCTAGTCGTAATTAAAACATTTTCTCAGCTGCCAAGCTACAGCATGATGAGCTTCAGCTTTCTACCTCTTTCCATTAAACACTGCAATCTCTCTTCCCAAACTAGGCTTCCTTCTTCATAGCACTCATAGTTGAGCCCAGGGCCTTGAACCTGCTAGGCAAGTGCCCTATGACTGAACTATATCCACAACAATGTCAACCCCTTTTCTTTACACACAAGCATCTCTATATTAAAGCTATCTTAACACTTTAAAATGACATGAGCCCCTTTTGTCCTTTATTCTCTGCTTTGGAGAACCTTTAGGATAGTTGCTCACATAAAAACAGGGTGGGAGAATATGTTTTGGGGGCTACCAGAATTGTAGCATCAGCTGTGATAGTATTAGTATGCTTTGTTTGACCTTGAGTGAGAGAGAGAATTTCAGTAATTTTAGACCTAGAAAAGTCCTCAAAAAGGCAGGCGTCACATAGTCTCAGTATGAAATCTTTATCATCTTTTCAATAATAACTTCCCTCCCAACTTCCGTTTCAAGATAGAATTCCAAGCTTGTTTTACTTTGTTTGTTTGTTAATTTGGGACAGGGTGGTGTGTATCTGAAGCAGGCCTCAAATTTGCTATGTAGCTAAGGATGAGTAATTCCTGTTCCTCCTGTCTTTTCATCCTGAATGATGGGATTATAGAAATTTGCCACCACACCCAGTTTTAAAGTGTTACTTAGTAACATCCACAGCAATGGGCCCACGTAGGTCATCTGTTAGGTCTCTAAATGCTAGGTGGGAGCTTTTGTCCTCATCCAGTTTAAACAGCCTGAATGCCCTGGTATCTATCACTCATATGCTTGGTAGTTTGATCTCCCATTCCTAATCACCAGTCTTCCTAGAGATAAAAAGGATATTCTTTATGTAGTGTGTACTCAGCAGTATGTTTTATGCCTCTCTCACTGTAAGCATTCTTCTGTTCATCTGGCCTGGAAACTTATTTAATTTAGTCTAATAGCTTCTTTATGTTGTTGGCTCTTAGATCATATGCTAAAATATCCTCTTTCTCAAACCAGGCCTGCTTCATTGTGGATTTGTACAAAATGTTTCAGTTATTCTAATCTAGGGCTACTCTGCCATTGTCTAAAGTACTTTTCATTTGCCACAATATGCATTCACATACCCCTCATAAACACCAATTTTTAAAAATATTAGTAGGTAGGATTCCTACCCCTTTCTATCTTAAACAGTTCACAAACATCTTTAAACATTTCAAGAAAGCAAAACAAACTAAAAGAGAAGAATAATGCTAGATTCATAAAACTTTGTAAATTTGTAAACTGAAACTATAGCTGCCTCTCTTCACCCGTTTAGTCCCCTGACCCCTTTTGTTGTTGTGTTGTTATTTTTGATGTGCCAGTACAGCCTAGAAAGCTCTCTTGTTTCTTAGATGTGAGCCTACATGGCCAGTTCTTTGAGTTTTTCTTCATTCTCCTTCTGAATTGAGAGTAATACAGATTCATTTTTTTTCAGTTTAGTGATTTTTTTTCTCTTATCTTTTAAAAATATTATTTAACTAAATAGTTTTCTAAAAATATATATAAATGTTTAATATTTTTAATCTCCCAACCATGATGGGGGCCTCAGATACTTTATTTCTATGTAGGCTCTACCAGCAATGTTAAATTTTGTTGTTGAAAGTTTTCATTTCTTCTTTTTCCTTCAACATACAATAATTGGTACTTTCTTTGCAGTTGACAATAAATAATATCAACTGAGTCATTGTATACATTTCTGTATTTGGTATCACTGTTTTGAGGCTTCCTCTCTCTGTGCATCCCAACCTGGCCTTTAGTGTACTTGTCTCAGCCTGCCAAATACTGGCATTGTGTGTACTTGCCACCACATCCATCCTCAGTATCATTTCTTTAGTCTTGTGTCTCCAGTCTCATTTTTTTTTTGTTCGTGATGAGGCTCATTGTTTTTAATTTTTTTTTTTTTGTGAGAAGGTAGGATAGTAATTTAAACTTTTAATTTATTTTGTCCTTGGGATAAATATAAATTTCTAGATTAGCAATTATTTTTTCTACATCCCTTAAGGTACTTTTGATTGAGACATGGTCTTGCTATGCAATCCAGAACCCTAAGTAGCCACAAAAAAAAAAAAATGTTCATTCTTCTGCCTACCCAGCACTGGAACTCCACAGCTGGCCTTTGATACTAATGAGACTCTGTTGGCAGTTCAAATATAGTTCTTTTGCAAATTCCTTCATTGCCTGAGAGCATTGAACATTATCTCTTTATACTTGTTGCTCTGTAGTTTGCTGTGATGTATCTGGGTTTGGATTTATTTTTATTTGTACTGTTAGGTACTAGGATCCCATTCTGGAAAATTCTGAGCAATTAGCTCTTCAAATATCACACCTCCCATTACTTCCATCTTCTTCTAGACTGAATATTAGACAAATATTGCAACCTTTCAGTCTGTCCTTCATGTCTCTTAACTACCCTTGCATGCATGCATATATATATATATATATATATATATATATATATATATATATACACACACAAGGGTATATACCATATATATATTATATATATATATACAGTAGAAACTATATATAAATATATATATTTAATCTCTTTGTTTCTCTGTGCTGCATCCTTGATGAGTTACTCAGCATCTACCTTCATTTCAATTTATTTTTTCTTTAAAATAAACCCAAATACACAAAATCTATTTGTTTGCATGGTGAAATGTTAAGACACCTAAAGAAATAAGGATTAGGGCTGGAGAGATGTCTTAAGAGCATTTTTCAGAGGACCCAGTTTCTATTTCCACACCCACATGGTAGTTTACCCCTTCTATAACTCCTGTCCCAGAGAATCTGACTCCCTCTTCTGGCCTCCAAGGGCACAGCATGCAGGTCGTACACCCATACACAAAAAACAAACCTCAAAAAGAATTTGGCTTGGGAGCAAAGAAAATATGATAAAATAGATTTAAATATAAAATTACTTTAAATAATAAAATACAATAAAATATGAATTAAACCATATATATCTTATCAAATAATTACAAACAGAATATGATATAATTAATCTCTGCTCAGGTCAGGTAGCAGAATACAACTGACCTCCAGGAATCTTTTTATGCCACTCACAGTCACAATGGCCTCCCTGTCCTCTGAGATAAAAAGTGTCCTAACTTTTAGCATAATCATTTGCTATGTTTATTTATAGTTCTAAGACTTAAATCTGTAGCCTTAAACACTAGAGTTTAGTTTTACATGATGATAGTAGCTTATATGCTAGAGTAGGTGGGGAGAGATAAAGAAACATGAACATGTGCATTTGAGTCTGAGTCCTGCATTCTTTGGACTGACTTCTTTCACTCAACATTACACTTATGAAATTTACCCGTATAATTAGTGACATCTGATTCTTTACTTTTTCTCATTGCTGCAACTTAGTACTTAAGTTTTGGTTGCATATGAATTGACATTACTGCCTGCATATTATAAAAAGTAAAGTTATAGATGTCTTCTGACACATTCACCTATACATACACACACATATACATATATGTATGTACATATGTATGATACACATATATATACGTTTATACCTTTTTATAAGACTAGAATTTCTAGGCCATAGATTTTTTGTATTGATTGTCTCTTTGAGTACAAAATGCAAACACTTTGTCACAGTAGCTTAGTGAGTTCTACCCAACAGCTATTTTTAGTTAAAGAATTTTTGTTTGTTTTCATATCTAGTTGATTTTCTTTCCTTTTTTCCTTACTTCACAATTTCGTGTTTGTTTGAGAAAGGGCCTCACTCTGTAGTTCCAGCTGGACTCAAACTTCCTACTTAAGCCTCCCAAATCTTTGTAACTATAAGGTGTGCCACTATGTCTAGATTTGTTGTGGTTGATGTTTCTAATGGAAGTCATGCCCTA